GAGCTCTTGTGTCGCGAAGATGAAAAAGATGAAAAAAGAGAAAAGAAAGAGAGAGAGAGAGAGAGAGAGACGCAAAGCACGATTAAGAGGAGAGAGAGAGAGATTAGGGGTTCGAGATCAGTCCAGTCAACAACGCTTTCCTTGCTCGATACTCGAAAACTCGATATTCCTAGCATTCCGAAGAAAAATTTTTTGAAGATTTTTATTTAAACGAATCGATGAAAATTCTTCCTTGTCCTTTCGTTTCCATTATGAAAGGAACGCGAGCAAAGATGGAAATTAAAAGCGCGAGATATGATCGACGCAACGCGATACTCGATGAAACTCTCCTTGTTAAAATTCTCGTGCATGGTTTCGAGGGCACACAACTACGACTTTCCCCTCCCTCGTTGCGTATTAAATTTACCTCGCATCAGGGGAAAGAAGGAGGAGTTTTCGCAAACAACCACGGAAAAATTAAATATGTAACGGGGGAGGGGGAAGTTTTCACCGAAAACTAATTTCCCTAAACTGACACGGATAAGAGGTGGCTAACGTTTCGACGCGCGCTGTTACATTATTTACGTATATATATAAATAGTTGTGCCGTTGTTACAGTAGGGGCGAGACGTAGTCACTCGGTTTTTCTGAATTTCAAGCAACTCCTCTCCTCCCTCCCTTCTCCTCCTCCCCCTCCACGACCGCGTAACGCCAAACTTGCGGGTATTATTTAACTTTTAAATTTATTAATTTACATTTTTCCTGGACGCTTATGTCTACGCCTGTTCCCGTTTTTAAACGGGATTATTGTTTCGAATTAAAGGGATCTTTCTTTCTCTTCTTCTTCCCTTCTTAGCGTCTTCCAGCCCTATTTTAAATTTTTAAATTTTACCGATAATCTTTGGGGAAAAATAAAATTTTCAAACATCTCGAATTTTCGACGAAGAAAATGGCAAACCCCTCCCTCCCCTCCAAAATATCGTGTGATTATTTGTGCAGTTATCCCCGAGCGTTGCTTTAGCTTCTCTGTGTTCTCGTTTAAGAACGACGAAACCAGGCCTCAGATGCAACTGTTTACGCCGGCGAAGCCAGATGTTTGGTTCGCACTGGGCGCAGATTCGAATGCGCTACTCCGTTCGAGAACTAATATCACACGGTTACGTGCGGGTAAATACTACTTACTATCCGCTGGGGATGCCGTCGACTAACGAGAAACAACATTTCGAATATATAACGAAACTCTTCCTCTTCTTCCTCTTCTTCCTCTTTTTCGCTTGACCTCGCCAATCTCGGACCCTGCCTAAATTTATCCGTGACGTTCGTTCACGAAAATCATTAATACCTCTCGCTGAATTTTATCTCTGGGCGATGCTACTATTGCGTTGCATCGAAGGGGAGAGAGAAGGTTAAAGGGGAGAGAAGAGCGGATAAAAGAGAATTTTCGGCGAATCCGAAACGTTTTCGATTTAATTAAAAGCTACGTGGCGTGACGATTACGCGAAACGTTTAAAAAACGATGGGATTAAAACGACTTTAATTCGATTTTATCTTTTAATTGTGCCCTGCGATACAAAGAAACGTGCAAGGTAGGTGGATTGGATGGAAGGGGATGGGAAAGAAATTGTCGAGCGTTTTGTTTTCCCTGACACAGATTTAACGGAAGCACTTATGCAGGCCGGCACATTCGGAATTGCCTGGTCCCTTGTTGCGGGGCGGACACGTTTATGGTAACACGTGCGTGTCATAAACCGGGCGTTTCCGCGAAAAAAACGTGGAAACATAGACGAGAGGCAGGTCTTATTTCGAAAATAAATTCATCCCTGATACGTGTCGCCTCGTGATTCTTTCTTTTTTCTCCTGGAGAAAGAGGAAGGAATATTCTTCGAATAATTTCGACTTAAAAATTTGACTTTTTGACGCAAGCAGAGCCAAGTATTTATTCGATTTATTTGATAAACGAACACGCGTTTAAAGCGATACGACGAAAGTATGCGTAAAAATATGTGTACATAATTAAATTTTTATCTCAATAAAATACGATATTAATTTTGCCAAAAATTATCAAACAAAATGTGAAATCCGTCATTTTGATGGGTTTGGTTGTTTTAGTATTAAATTGGATTAAACCGAGCTTTCATTATTCTTCAAAATTAAAACTCATTGTCGGTTTAATTTATTATTTCGTTATCAGGAAATTAATTGAACTCTACGATGGAATGATGTTTATTTAAATTTATTTGATATAGAATACAATATTTTTATAAACCCGGTATGATTTTTTAATATCCGACGTGCGTAAAGGTACGAACCGTTCTATTTCGTCGCTTTCGAAAAATCGTTGGAAAAATGTGTCTCTTTGTTCGAGCTCTATCGTTCGAGTTCGACGATAGATATTTTACTCTCTAAACGTGTTGTAAAAATTTCTACCGTTGTAAAAGTTTAACTTGTTAAAAATCGTAATTAAAAACTGTAACCACCACGAGAAAATTCTTCGAATAGAAACGTGGTCATGTGGTCATCGGAAACATCTTCTCATCGGCAATTTCTTTCTCGAAAGGAACAATGGTCGGTCTTGAAACGTCAAAAAATTTCGAGCAAACCGACGAACAACCGCTGGACAATTTCTTATGGGATAAAACGAAAAATGTGTGTGTATGCGCGCAGGCGTCGTCGCGTATGTGTGCGTGTATGTTTTTAAGCAAACATTCAATTTCACGGTCGGCCGCATGACTAAATTGTCAAAATTGTAACAATGCGGTGGAGAGCGCACAATGGCGAAGAAACGGTGGGACGGTCGAGGCGGAATAACATCCACGTAATGGAATATAGCGGGAGAAATTTAATTTTGCCTTACAAATCCTTGGTCGGTGTAGACAATTACAAGGTAATTGTTAATACGACTCGCAATTCGACCGTCTCGGTTTAAACTCTCGCCGTATTCAATCGTTGATCCTCGTTTCCTTCGTGAAAGAAACACTCGTGGAACACTCGATCGATTCGAAACTTTTCGACGAAATTTATCGAGGGGGGAGGGAGTTATTTTCGATTCGAGAAATGTTTCCATCTAAAATATCCGGGATATATTTTAAAATTTTTTCTCTCGTTTCAAACCAAGCGAAATTATCGCGAAACTTGTCACGATTCCATCGTCCGCAATTCCAATTAATTTCTGTACATATCGCGCGAAACCAATAATTCGACGTTGGGAGGGGGGAGGGGGGGAAGGGGATTTCTATTTTTGAAAGAAGGATCAGCTGCATTGTTCGCCAGTTGGAAAACGGATTCACGAAGCAGGATGAAAGTTTTCGATTGGCTCAACAAACGGTTTTCCAACGGGGCCGTGGAAAGGGGATGACGAGTTTCGGACAGTTTCGGTGTGTAGAGCTCGTTAATGCGTTCAATCGAATTGGGCGCAATGTCGATTAAAATTCTCTACATTAATTATCGGACGTTAGATTGGAACGCGAAATGCAGTTAATTGGCAGAGAATGAAATTTCGATGATTGCGAGGTGGATTGCCGCCGTTCGACTAACAAAAATCGATCCTCCTCTCCCCTCCTCCTCCCCCTGGACGAGAAAAAAAGAAATATGGAAACGACGTTCCCCGTCCAGTCATTTGAATATCACCGATTCTAAATTTACTCAGCCACGAGATCACTTGCGATTCGCTGTTAGCCTCTTGACCGCTCCAGAGTTTCGATTTTTAGAAAATTTTCCTACCTTTTAATCCGAACATTTTAATATTTTCCTTTCGCAAATGAATAAATGCGTCAAAATCTGTACAAAATCTACGTAAAAATATACGTTTTCTAATTTTATTCGAAAGGATAAAAGAAAAAAAAGTGGAATATGGAATTTGAAATATCGCAATCGAGAAAAATGGGAGAAAATAAACAACAAATAAAATATTTACTTAACGGAATCAGAATCGAGGAAACGTTCTAACGCACGCTTTAAATTCGTGCGTGCAAACACATCTCGATATATATAAAAAAGGCACGCGAGTTTAGAAATAGAGAAGAAGTTGAATGATGCTCGAAACACAATTATCGAATATTTATTCCCTTTGTTATTGTTACGTAAAAAGATAGTGTCATCGTGTGTAGGATAGGTAGAAAAAACATTTTTCTCGTTCTAAAAATTGACTCGTCACGGCGAGAGTTGGAAGAATTCTTAAGAAGATGGAGATGGCGACGCCTAGGCGGCCCCAACGAGATTTGTGGGGAAAGTTTGGCAAAATTGAGTCGACGCGAGGCTTGATGAGCGTATCGTGATTTATGCGGTTCATTTCTCAGGTAGAATCTTTTTCATATCGTGGCACGGGATGCGGGGAAAAACTTTCCATTATTTCCATGCCGGCGATTCGCATCGTCGTCCCTGTTTCTATTTCTTTTTTCCCGCCCATTGTCTAAAATAAAACGCAACGGTTTTAGGCTTTCAAGTACAATACGCGTTCGTAATCGTACGGATCGTATTAATTTTTAACGTGCCCGTTAAAGGCAAGTGGACTAAAGTCAAAAAAAAAAGAAGAGAGAGAGAAAAAACAACGAACGAAATTATATTAAATTTCATTTCGATAGAAATGGAAAGAATATCGATACCGATAAAGCCAATGAAGCTAATAAACGCGTGTATCAAATTTCGTGTACACGTTGTGAAATATCAAAAATGATCAAGCTGAAACTGGATCCCTCGCGTTAACTGGCCAATTATTTCAAATCATTTTGAGGGATTTTTTTTTTTTTTCTATCGATCTTCGTCCCACCTCCGCGTCGCGACTATCGAAATACCGGAGTGAAATTTCAACCGGCTAACGAACCGATATACCGCTAACGCGAATTTCAAAATTCTAGAATTCCCTTCTTCCGTGTTTCTCCATCTCTCCTCTTCCATTCTCGCGACGGGAGGCGCAAAAATGTAGGAGAAAGAGAAAGCGCAGAAGAAGCCTCCCCCCAAAAGAAAGAAAGAAAGAAGAAAGAGAGAGAGAAGAAGAGAGTAAGGTGACGATCGAATATACCAACCGGAGAGAATCGTGACAGGCAGCAAGGCGCAGATGCCCAAATACACCAGCAACACTGTCCAAGTGTGACGCGGCTGCTGGCACAGGTCCAACTTTTTCCCGCTCGGTAGGCCACCACCGATTCTTGGCCCCATCATCGTGCCTCGTGCCGCATAGTTTTCGCCTCGGCCACGTAAACGCGAGCAACGCAACCGGATTAGGGTCCGGCCGCTTTAATAATCCCACCTCCTCCGCGTCCCACGGCTTCCTCCTTCCTTCCTTTCCTCTTCCTTCCCGCCTTCTTCCTTCCCTCTTGTTGTCCCTGCGTTTCGCAAAGGGGTTTCGCAACGAACTCGAAACGAACCAACTTTCCACCACTAACATTCCACCATGCACTCGAGGCCACGACACGAGCTCACACACGTACACGCGCGCACAGAGGGGGGGGGGGGGAGGTTTTTAGAAGTGGCTCGTTTCACTCGGTTCGCATCGTGGACACTTGAACGAACACTGCACCAACACCGATGTTAGTAGTATGCACTCGAGCCTCTTCTTCTTATTCTTCTTCTTTATTTGCAATAACTGGTTAAAGAAACTCGAAGCAAGCCCGATGGATTTGCGTGCTCGTCTGTGTTGTTCTATCTATTGTGCGCGGTAGAATAGGCACGCGCGAAACGACGGTGTGTACACTTGCCGCTTTTTGCGAAGCTCGAGATAAGAGCTCGTTTACCTAAAGATGTGCTCCCGGATGTGCAAAAGTTGCAGGATACAGTTTACAGGGGAATCTAGCGGAATCTTCCTCCAACGTAGCTCCTTTACGAGAACGACGCGTGGCTTCTCCCGGTGTAATAGTTTTTAACTGCATTTTTATCTCTTAATAAAACGGTGCCAGCGTCGTCGTGGCCTCCAGTTATCCGCGAGTAACTTGGAGAGAATCGGGGTTCGATACGAGGAGGAGTTTGGATTAGATTGCCGCTTCTGGAAAATGAAAATCGCCCGGTAAGATATTTTTCGTCATTAAATTGCGAAACCATTTCGTTCTATCCTTATTTTTTCCTTATTTTTTCCCCCCCTCCCCCCGATGGCCTTCTCGAAGACCGACACGCAGCGGCAGGATGTTTGAATATAAAATACCAGGTGTTTGAGTTTAATACGCGGCTCACTATCGCAGGGTTAATTGAATCTAAACTGTCTGTCGTTTGAAATTGAACGATAATACCGCAAAAACGAAAACGGTGGACGTCGAGCTTGATGGAATTGTGTCGCGATGATTTGATGACACGAATCACTCGGATACATCAAATTTCATGGATACAGAAAGGAGAAATCGGAGTTTTCTCTTTCTGATATATATATATATCTTTCATATTATAAAAAGAGAAACATACGAAATTAATTAACGCATCGATCAAACATCGTTTCTGTTCAACGAAGAAACGAAGAATTTAATTTGACGTTCAATTTTTGAGAAATCAAGAACTGGGGAAATCGTAGCAAGACTTATTACTGTTTTTGTATAGAAAACAGTTTAACCCGTTTCTCCCTTATTGAATTAATCCTCATCAGTGTCAAAATCCTTATGCATTTATTGCAGCTAAGTGGGAAGGCGCGGTGTGAAAACACAGTTTACCGGCGCGGATCAACTTGGCTAGGTTCGAATTAAAACGGATCCAAGTAGGTAATTACATCGTCTTAATTAATTCTTCAGACTGTCGGCGGATTGTAACCGTGTCTCTTCCCATCGTGTCGGTGGCACGAACATCCCCGACGACGACGACGACGACGACTTGTCACGTCGAGGACGAGGCAAAGTTATTCCGTCCTCGAGAATGGAAACGTTTTCTTCGGGGCGAGGAACGTTAAATTGCACGTGCAGCACAATTGCGCCGAGGGCACGGCGCGACACACGCGACGATTTTATGCGTGACTTACTAAGAGGGATGAAAGGGACGACGAGAGAACTCAGTGTCGTGAATCTTAACGATCGAACGGTTTTACTTTTATTTTCTTTCTTTTTTTTTTTTTCCACGCGCGATTCCTCTGAAATATTTTCGAAAATTATTCCCCTCTGATTTATTCCACGCTAATTCTGAACTAATTTCTTTTCTTTTCCAGAAAGATCGCATCGGTGAGAAACGTTACACGAGGAAATCGCATTTGGAGGGCGGGATAATAGTAAAAATTGCGAAAGTCTCGAAACTCGGGAAGGGAAGTGGAAAGCTCTGTAGCAGAAGTGCCGCCTCGATGGCGCAATTTTTCGATCAACTTTCTATAAATACAGTCATTTGTCACTCATCGAGAGTACGGAGAATCGAGAGGGAGAGGTGAACTCTGGGATGCTCGATAAATCATCATTGATTTAAAACGTCCCCTCGAAAAAAGTGCGATGTACCACCGATAAAATTTGATTTACCGTATCGAGGGCGTAGCGTGCTCTCTTTACGGCGGTTCATCGTGTGTCTTATATTTATTTTAGAACGTCGTCAGAAAAATTACGGTCTGCCGGTTGGAGCTCGACGCCGTCTGGGGACATCGGTGGATCAATTTTTAAAGCCGCGGCATGGAAACGGGCGTGAAGGGTCGCTGGCGTACAGAACAATGACGATGCTGATGCCAGACGGTCGGTCGCAAATTATCCCTGCGAGGTATTATTAATTAAATAGGCTTGTTGACTCGCGACGCGAAAAAATTCTACACCCTGTTTATAAATCGTTGACGTGTGCCGAGATATCTAATTTCCGTAGGAAAAAGAGAAAAATAAAAAAAAAAAAAAAAGAAAAGAAAGAAAGAAAGAAGGAAAAAAATTGCATTCGGTTTCAGTGGAATTGCGTGGCGTTAACCCCCCAAAGGGTGTGAATTTGCATGAAAAAGTAAGTCGAATACGTGGAGTAATATTTTTCATACGAAGCTTTTTTTTCTCCCCTCCCCCCCCCCCCTTCTCCGAACAAATCGATAAAAGTTCGCCGAGCTCGCGTACATTTACATGTAATACCATTTACGTCTACGGCTAACAGATAACCGAAAATTGCATCGAATTTGATGTATTTTAATCTTCTCTATTATATCGCGTTATATTATATCGCTCACGATGAATAGATTGCTGATGTTTATACAAATTCATTGTTTCGTTAACATAACCGAATATGATTTATATTGCGTACTAAATATTTTAATGAGAACTCCACTTTAGATATTTCATACATATATATACTCTTGCATTATGTACGCTCTTGTACACATTCGTCCACAAGTGAATAAACAACCGCTATCTATTAATGAATAATGAAATAAAATTCCATATACGGAATAATTCTGCGCAATAATTCTGTTCCGACAAAAAACGGAGAATACAGAATCGAACACTTATTGCGAATTAGTAATCCGTATTTATATCAAAATGTAATAAAAATTAATTGATAATCCAGAACGTACGAATTTTCAATCTGGATATACTCGATAACGAAAATTAAAAACGATTTCCACGATTCGTTCGACTTACACCTTCTTTCACGTAACTTTCTCCACCCCGCGGCGAGCAAACATTCTAAGAAAATACGCTCGTTATAATACGAAGTTTTGCGAAAGCAGGGCGATCGCGTTGAAATTTCTAACATGGAATTTCAGAGGAGGTAATTTCTCGAAACGGCGGCACGTTAATGCAATTCGAAAAGGAGAATTCCCACAGTTTGGTGGGGCGGGGCTGCGTTTAAAACGTACGACATCCCACCGGTTGAAGATATCCGGAGAGGAGGGTGGAAATTACACGATGCACAGGTGTGGAACCCGGAGCGTAAAGCTGGAGGAGAACAGAGAGCTGTGGGCCCCCGTATTCTCTCGTAAACGTATGACGCACGAGGAGGAGGGAGGGGGCGATGTAACGAGATTTTCAAGAGTGAATTAAAATCAAAGGTGCTCGCGATAACCGTATCCTCGCCGTATCGTAAGCGGGCAGAACGAAAAAATTGGAACGAGAGTTTAATGTAAATTCGTATCGCTGAATTTTAATCCCCTTCCAGGGGATCCTCGTTTCGTCCCCTTCGAAAAATTGTTTCGTCGTGAAAAATGAACGAACGCGGGACGTGTGCAGATTCGAAAAAAATCTGGATATACTCGATAACGAAAATTAAAAACGATTTCCACGATTCGTTCGACTTACACCTTCTTTCACGTAACTTTCTCCACCCCGCGGCGAGCAAACATTCTAAGAAAATACGCTCGTTATAATACGAAGTTTTGCGAAAGCAGGGCGATCGCGTTGAAATTTCTAACATGGAATTTCAGAGGAGGTAATTTCTCGAAACGGCGGCACGTTAATGCAATTCGAAAAGGAGAATTCCCACAGTTTGGTGGGGCGGGGCTGCGTTTAAAACGTACGACATCCCACCGGTTGAAGATATCCGGAGAGGAGGGTGGAAATTACACGATGCACAGGTGTGGAACCCGGAGCGTAAAGCTGGAGGAGAACAGAGAGCTGTGGGCCCCCGTATTCTCTCGTAAACGTATGACGCACGAGGAGGAGGGAGGGGGCGATGTAACGAGATTTTCAAGAGTGAATTAAAATCAAAGGTGCTCGCGATAACCGTATCCTCGCCGTATCGTAAGCGGGCAGAACGAAAAAATTGGAACGAGAGTTTAATGTAAATTCGTATCGCTGAATTTTAATCCCCTTCCAGGGGATCCTCGTTTCGTCCCCTTCGAAAAATTGTTTCGTCGTGAAAAATGAACGAACGCGGGACGTGTGCAGATTACGAAAAAAAAAAAAAAAAAAAGAAAAAGAAATTGTTGTAAAATCGTGGAAAGATAGATCCCAATTTTTCCCCCCCCGCGAAGGGATACACGGATCGATAGATGGAACAGGCGGCGGTTGAGCAGATCTCTTTTGAAATCGGAATAAACGCGGTTCCATGGAAAAAAAAAGAGCGTCGAGGGAGCGAGCGGAAGCCTCGTTTTCGCGGAACGGGCATATCCATTGGAACGAGCGCTCGTCAAGAGCTGTCAAATCTCACGAGATCTCCTTTCGCGCGCTATTTATAGAGAATTCTCCGGTTGACGGTGGCGAAGCTCGGTTGCGCGGCAGCTCGCGCGTGCATCGTTCTGCATTGGCCCTCTCGTTTCCTCCTCTCTTCTCTCCTCTTTGCTCCTCCCGCGCGACGTCTTTCGAGTGTGGAGCGAGTGCAAAACCCTTCTGTCCGGGCGTACACATAATTACCAAAGTTAATTAGGGCTTTGGGAGATGAAAGAGAGTGAGAAGGAGAGGGTGGGTGATGGCGCGACCGGGTTTAGAGATGTATTAGCAGCGAGCGGAAAGAGGGCAAGGTTAAAATGCGTTGCGAAACGACTGAAATTGGGCGAGGAAGGAATCAAAAGGGGGATTCGGTGTATAATTTTCACGGAAGAGGAACGATGCGCGGCCCGGAAGTGATAAAAGGGTGCAAAGAAAATATGGAGTTTCTCTTCCTTTTTCCACCGCGTTGTTTTTCTCTTCTTCAATTTTTCTTCCCATCGGGGACGAAATTGTACGAATGGAAATAGCCGAAGTTGTGTTTTGCGTCTCTCTCGTTCTCCTAGACGATGGAAAATGGAAAGATAAGGGCAAACGGGGGTTGAGGGTTGGCCACCGTGTAAATTTCACTTTTACCCGCGAATTTTATTTCGACCCTGCTGTTTTCCCAACGACTGCGCTTCGACGCGAGCCGTGTTTGCACAAAGAAGTACCGCGTTTCAACCTTTCCATACCGCCAATTTTCCCCCATTTCGCAGTCGCCGCGTATCCACCGGCTCATCACCTCGCCACTCGACCGCTCGTGCAATTGGTTTTTCGTGTTCCATCCACTCCGCTGTCCTCGAAATCCTAATTTCGCGTTTTTCACTCGACCCGGCCAAGTCGAATGTCCCGTGAAAGCATCAAGCCCCGTCATCCGACAGAAACGAAACCTTCTATCCCTTCGTTATCCCGCCGCTAACGCGTTTTTATCTTTTTTATTGCGGTCGAAAAAACGGAGAGAACGAAACGAAAACGTCTGCTGCCGTCGCGATCGACGAAATATCGTTTCGAGGAACGAGGATGGGGATGAAGAGCAGCGGTAGAAAAGAATAGGAAAAAGAAGTTACGACAGAGTTGCTTTACCTCGATGTCTGTTTATACTCGCGAATTCCACTCGAATTTCCGGGATTACGGGGAAACTTGCCTGTCACCCGGATAACATTCCTCGAATCACTTGCACCCTTTTCGATGATAAAAGAAAAAGAAGCACACGAAGACCGTCGTATACAACGTCGACGAAAATTCCCCGCGAATCAACGATCGGGAATCGATCGTTGGAGAAAATGAAGAACACGATTCGTGGCTCGAAGAAGCGAAGGGAAAGAAGCGCGTGCATATGGGCGCGTGGTACCGGTATGGGCGTGTAACAAGCACTAAATCCTGATGCCCCGTCCGCGGCTAGCCGGCCCCTCTAACAATAAACTTAGGTGAGAGACGAGAGACGGGCACCGTACGCAGACACCGTAGAGGAAACGGCACGCGTGACAAAGCGGCGCTCGTAGTACGCGCGGCGTGCGTGCGTGAGCCACACTAGCTCCGCTCGTGGATCACAACCACTCGAGGCTTGAAAAAGAGAGAGAGAGAGAGAGCGTGTCTATGGTGTGGGAGAATGTCTGCGGGGGCTGACGAAGCGTGGTGGTGGTGTGGAAGAAGCCGTATGCCGATCATCAGCTCGGGTTTATTGGGCATTAACGCGTGTGTCGTTCGTGAAACCGATCCTGCTTTTCGACGCGTTTTCCTTTTCTCCTCGTCTCTCCCTCTCCCTCTTTTCCTTCCTGTTGCTCCTCCTCCTCCTCCTCCTCCTCCTTCTCTTCATGTTCCCATGTTTTTTGCAGGAAGTTGGCGAAACCTCTCGAGAGAAAAAGGAGGAGGGGAATTAAGTAGTAGGAGAAGAAAAAAATATCGATACGGAAAGATTAATGAAGGAGCGTGTAGGGTAACGTTCATTTCCACGGTTCGAAACATTAAATTAAGCTTCGGATTGACATAGAACCCATTTATAGAACGCCCACGCAGCTGCCAGTCCCGCGCGGAGTGCACAAAATCGCCCGAAATACAGCCGCGAGCCGAAGCAGTATTTGTTCCTCTGTAAACGTCTAGCGATGGGATCGAGTTTATCGCGAACAAGTTTCACAAACTTTTTTTTTTTCGCAACCTTATTTTCGAAAAAATCGAAATCTCTCGCGCACCAATTTAATTTATCGTTTAAATTGTTCGAATCGATATATATATATACGCTGACATCAGTGACGAGTAAAACGAATTGTTTTTGTCAGTTTGGAAAGAGATCGGTGGGCATAAAGGGTTGGGACCCGATATTAGACGAGTCGCACGATGGGTTTGAATGGGTGTAGAAAGAATGGCGAGAGGGAGACGGGACACGTGTACCGGCGTACGTGTGAACGTGCAGGGGTGGTGCGCGACGAGATATTATGCGGATAAAATATTCATGGTTATCGGGGCTCCCGATCGGGGCACGCCTTTATTTTTCGAGATGAATAGAAATGGTGCCATCCCCATGTGCCGTCCGACACAAATTCTTTGCCCCGTGGACGACAATGAGGATGGCGAGGGAGGAGAGGGAAAGAGGAAGAAGAAGGGATCGATGGACGCTATCGTGGAGAGCATGTGGTTTGAAAGTAATATCGATAACGCGTATTTATCATCTATCGAAGGAAAAATGAGGTTTATCGAGCATGGTGTTCTTTAACGAATATTTTTTATTTCCGATGATGTGAAAG